TGCAGATATTCTCCCAGCTGCTCTAATTCTCAGCAACTTGAGGAGCTACATCCAGGCTGTCCTACACCAGATTCGACTCCACTGGCTCCAGGTGAAACACAGATGGAATGGGGCACCCTGAGCTTGAATCCCAAAACACAAATCAAGGGGTGACTTAGTTACTCCCACCTCCAAGAAATGGTTCATAGCCCGACCGAGCGCGGGAGGTGCTGAATTCGCAGCGTGGCTCCCGTGGGACGTCTCCAAGCCAACGTCATCGCCAGCCAATGGGGAAATGACCCATGGGTCGCCCTGCTTTTCTTCCATGAAGTTTACAGTATATTTGCACAATGTTATTTCCCAGGTTAATATATTAAATGTGTATTTTGGTGATTTTTCTTGCTCGGTGATGAAAATACCGCTCGGTCTCTCCCATTCTCAGGCTGATATGGAGTGGTTGGACATGGATAAAAAGTGCTGTGTCTTTCAGTAAATGCACAGCAATTATACAAAGCGATTTAAAAACTATTCATTGAAATGCTGGATCTTTTGTCTAGTTTTTCCATCCATATTTTAAAGAATCGCTGCGTATCATGTGTATTCCCAGAGACAAATACTCGCAAAGAAGAGGGAAGAACACGTCAATACGGTGCAGCCATCTGTTTCCAATAGTATATGTTTACATATTAATGTGCAATACAAATTTGTAAACATGAACATTTGAAACGTTTGTAGGAACTGATACTGGCCTTTCCCCCGTCTATGACTTTATTGGAACAGCATGGCCAGCGTGGCCGAGCCGCACATGCGAGTTGTTTCCATACTGGATCCATTTCAACTGTTCCCTGTGCTTATTTGTTCTGCTCCGCGTTGCTATCCAGTCCTGCCTTGTTTTGCATAATTGTGATACAAATTATCATCTAATTACAGCCCAAACCTCAGAAGATCAAATATAGAGCAGGGCCCTTCTATAAGAACAACTACATCCCCTGCGCTCAGCCAACTTTCAGCTTCTCCGATGGATGTATTATGTTTGGAGGAAATTGGATAGCAAGTGGTGCTTTGATTAAAAGCCCTGTTTAGGGGTTTTTTGTCTGCTTGGTTTTTAGATCAGCCTTGTGATTTCCCAACAAGGATCCTGTCTCGTGTCGTGGCGTGGAACGCAGCGCGGTGCCCTTTGCCAAGCGCCGCAAAGGCGGACGGGTGTTTCTGAGCAATGTCGGACTTCTCCCTGGAATGGCCAAAGGGTCCAGACTTTTGAGTAAGGTTGGGCTTTTAGGCAATTTGGGGCTATTTTCCCCCTGTTTCCATTTAAAAAGCACACAAGCATGGATTTTATACTTCACGAAGTCTAGAAAACCAAGGATTTGTGTCACAGGTTTCCAAACAATCTTACTGGGAGGAACTGCAAAGCAGTGCAAAATGTGCTTTTATTTTATACGCACATGGGCCTTCTTGAAATATTTACCCCCTTTTCCCCAGCCTCATATTTACTCAATAACGACGTATTCCTCTGTGGGGGTGGTGGCTTCCCTGCCTGTGCTCCGCGCTCGCTTCCCACCAGGAGCAGTTTTTCCAAGCATCCCTAGAAGGGAGCCTGCAAGTTACCAATTATTTTGAGCACAGTCTGTCTCTTATAAGCAGAACCATCTATATCATAGCACTAGAGACTCAGCCAAGTTACCGCTGGGACTATTGAAAGCTCCTATTTGTCAAAGACTTTTCCCATTTGCCAAAACAGCCTCCTTGCCCTCCCAACATCTCCTGAACAGCCTGTGAAATGTGAGCCTGAGGTCTGAACGCTCGGTCACGTTCTGCCTGATGGTAGGAGCATGCGTGGAGCAAGATGTGGTGGTAGGAGAAGTCCAAGGGTGGAAGTTGTTAATCTCCTCCTCAGTCTCAGGTGTGTAAAAAGAAGCATTTTGAGCTGTGAACACTAAAAAATAAAAAAGAGAAAAGACTACAGTGGGTTTGGGCTGTGAGGTCTGTGTGCTGGCAAGGAAAGCTCTGCTTCCTCCTCCGCCTCTGCCAACCTAAACCAGGAATATTCCCACTGCAGCTAGGGCTCTGGAGGCAGCAACCAGGATGGGGAAAATCACACCTCAAATTTAAACCTTGTATGGAAATACTGAGGTCTTGTGGATGGAACCTACTCAGCTTTTCCATCTTCACAAGCCTGACGGTTTTATATTTATGTGAGAAAGGAAGCCCTCTCTGGGGCACCTCTCTGGTGTGCAGACATCTCCCCAGGCTTCCTCCTCCTGCATCCTGCTGGACCAAGGCCAGCGTGCCGTGACATTGGGCAGCTCTGGCCTGGTCTAATGTGACAATGCAGAGAGCAGGACAGAGACCTGGGACACACTAAGGCTATTTTTTTCTCCCGTAAAGAACCACCAAAATATTTTGCACAGGAAAACCAATGAAAAATAATGAAACTGGGGTAAATGCAAATAACCCATATTTAACCTATAGTGACTCATATAGTGCTTTCTCTAGCATGCAAAGTTGTGTTTATACTTCTGTGTAATCCACACTTTACTTTGGGCCTGACTATTAAATCTTGGTGGAGCTCGATGCTGGAGGCCAGGACTAAGGAGACTCATCACGCGGCGCGGCTGCGCCGTGGCCAAGCTCCGAGCGCCTTTTCCAGGACAGCGTGAACAGAGTTTGGCTCCTCCCAGACTTGACATCACTTAACAAAACTGCTGAATTCAGCTGAAACAGCTTTCAATTGCCACGAGTTGGCCAGCGGCTTCATCACCTCAAATCGACTCACCGGAGCTGCGTGGACCCAGCAAAATAAGCTCAGCTCTGAGCTCAGCATCCCTGTTTCCTTTTCCTCCTTGCCAAGGGAGACAGACACATCTACCCCACCAGGTTCTCTGGGGTTCTCTGAGCCATCACAGTGCAATGGGGTTGGTCAAATGTTGCATTTCCAGCTTCATACAGAAAGTTACAGGAAAAACAGATTTGAAAATACCTGTTTTGTTTGCAAGCATTCCCTGAATTGAAATGGGGTGGTTCTGTTAACTAAAGATTTTTTCCAGGTTCAGCAGACGGGATTTCTTAGATTTGAATCTAGATTAGATTCATCACAGTCATCATAAATCATCATAAAATCATCTATACTGAAGACATCTAATCTTATTTGGTCAGTTTTAACCTGACAAACACAGATTCGCTGGATAACCCAACCCTGACCACCAGGTCGGGATTATTTTATGGAACTGTCCCTTTTTGGAGAACTGGGAGTCACCTGCTGCATCCATCCCCCAGCAGAGCCTGCTCTGCAAGAGCCCCTTGAAGCAGCCTGGAGCGGGCGAGATCTTCAGGCACCCTCGTGAGATCTGCCCCAATGGGCAAAGTCCATCCCAGCATCCGCTCCGGGATCACCTGTGGGATCTGACCTGCCTCGAGTGATGGATGGTGGCTTGGAAATAAGTACTGCCAAATGAAAAAAAAAAAGTTTCATTTTTATAATAAAAATAGCGAGATGATAAGCTGCTAAGAAACAAGAGGAGAAAACAGGTTTGTTCATTTGCACAGCTGTACGGCGCGGAACGAGGCAACGGCTGTCCCTGTCCTGTGCTGCTGTCCCAGGGGAACCAGGGAATGCAAAAATCAGCCACGGAAATCAGCCCTGGCTGATTTCTAGCAAAGTCTCGTGAAAAAGTGTGACTTTTGTTATTTTGTTATTTAACAGCTTTTGATACCACTATTTTTTGCCCTTAATCTGTTGTCTGTTGTGGATGAAAGCGAAACCAGAGCTCCAACACAGATTTCCTTTCCTAAACCTACAATTATTCCCTCTCTCGGGCTATTTTATGTTTCCAAATAAGGGATTCACTTATCCTGACCTCAAAATGCGACTGCTTCCAGCTGATCATTATTTGCAAATCTCTGTCTTGTGTCAAGTAATAAAATTGGCTTCAGGTAGGGACCAAGCACTGGTCAAATAAAGAATAAAATCTGCATCCCACTTTATTGCTAGTTACATTGTGCCCTTGGGAGCTAGAGATTATTTACAGGAATAACAAGAATATCCATGGGTTATAATAAGACTAACAGAACTTTTGGAAGGGATTTAAGATCCCCAGCGTCAGAGCTGTAGTCCTCAGGAAGCAATAGATGTTCCCCCTTGAATCGGCTCCAGGGGCTGTCCGGGATCTCCTGCTCCACCCGTGAGGCTCAGGATGTGGATGTGACCTCTGTGGCAGCCTCCTGACAGCACTGAGCAGGAGGAACACAGGACAGACCCCCAATCCAGGTCACAGTGTGGGCACAATGTGACTTTGTGCCATCCATCCATCCTGTTCCAACTCCATTGGTGCCTCCTTGTGCTGCCTCCTGGAAGCACAGGAATAGGAGGTCTCCTTGGGCATCCTTGCACCAGGCTCCACGGTCTTCTAGCCCGTCTTTCTTTACCTCAGCATCAGGTACTTGAATTTATAGCCCTGCTCTGATGGCTGAGCCATCTGGACCCTGAAGCAGCCAGGCGCTTTCATGCTTTTAATGAGGACCCATTAAAGTCCAGGGAACTTGAGAACGTGCTCAAGCACTTGGCCAAACGCGCTTCTTCAGCCAGCTTGAGGTGTCCAATAGTCTCATTAAAATCAGTTGGACGAATCAAGCAGGGCGAGCTTGGCGGCTGCAAGCTAGGACTGCTGCCAACGAAAGGAAAACCAGATAGGAACTTTGGGGAAAAATATCTGGAGAGATGGATACTTCTGTGATCCCACTTAGAGTGCAAATACTATGAAGGTGACTGTACAGCTTGCGCTTAACCCTCACCAGTTACTTAAATAAGCGTTCACCAAAGGTATCACTTCGTTGTGGGTCATCTCATGTCCTTCACACTTCCAACCACACTTGCAAGCTTGCCCACAAAAAAAGTTCAATGCCTGGATAGGTCAATCCCGAGTCCTGAAGTATTTTAGAGCTGGTAATTGGCAGGCCCTCAGTTATGAATGAAGAAAGGGCTTGCTTTACAAGGCAACGCTTAGCAATATTACATAGGTCCATTAAAGGCAATGGTTAATTGTTGGGTGCCAGCTGGAGTGATTACATCGGCCGTCTCGGAAAAGCGTGGGAATGCTGTCACTCACCTTGACATGGCTTGCTGCACTCATCAGTCTGGTGGGCACAGAAAAGTTATAACCGTACAAGCCATATGGAGGATGTAAAGAACAATTAAGTGCTTCCCGAGCAATGGGACTTGATGGGAAAACGTTTCCAGATGCCTGTAATCCATACAGCACTTGACTATCAGAACTGGCGGCTTGTAGGCACTGCCCATTTAGGTCTTCGTTTTTCCCGTTCTTCAGGCTTGTTATGCCGAGGGAAGAGAGTTTGGGCGCATCCACCACAAAGTGGGGTAAAACGGGCGGGTTGGCGCCTCCCAGTTTCTCGGGGCTGGGGAGCACGAGAGGCTGAGGTCTCAGGAAGCTCGTGGGGCAGATCTTGTAGCAGAGGGGCAGGCCGAGGCCGTGCAGGAAGGCGTCGGGAGCCGGCACGCCGATGCCGCTCGCCGGGACGTGGAACGCGGGAGGTGAGCAGGACGGAGACAGCAAGGAGCTCAGAGGGGACGGCGTCCCAGCGCTGGAGGCCACGGGCGAAGCGCTGGAGCTGCCACCTAGGAAGGAGAAGGGAAATTGTCAAGGCGATGTCCACAAGCAAGAACCCATCAGGGGACTCCCGACCTCCCCGCAGCACGTATCCATCCAAACGCGAATCCTGGAAAAAGGGAAGAGCTATCCATAATAATGTACTAATGTATTAATTGGCACTTGTCTAAGAAAAAATATCCCTGCATGACTAATCCCATTAGCTTCTCCGGGACAACTACCAGGTTTGGGTCCACACAGACCCTGACCTGCCCAGCTAAAACCTTCTCCTGTTATACACCCACCGCCAGTATTTTAACTTCCCTATTTTTCTTGCAAATTATTGGCAGCTTTCCTCCCTTGCATATAGGAACAAAAGAATACATTCAGCTCAACGGGAACTTTTTGCACCTTCCTGTTCAAAACGCACTGAGAGCTGAGGCGGCTGAGGAGGTTTCGATGTGGACATCACTCCTTTCTTAAGTGAATCAATGCAGACACTCTCAATTTGGGAGAAAAGCAGCTTATTTCAGGCACGCGAGCGCTCTCGAGGCTGCTCGGGAGCCGCTTCCCCGCTCCTCCGGGGGCGGCAGCCGCTTCGGGCGGGAAGGGTGCGCTGCAGCCCCCATCCCTCATGCTAAACAGATGCGATTTTAATCTAGCTCCGTTAAAGGGACACATGCCCCTGATTCACATTCATTAACTAACTCATTCTTTTAGAGGTTTTTTTCATCTTATTTTCAATGTTCCTTTTTTTTTTTTTACACCTTGTTTTGTCCGTGTCTGGGAAAAGTAAGGAGGGGGAAGCAAGTTTGATTTCGCTCTGTGTTTTCTGTATTCACACTTAGTCCAAAATGCTGTGCAACCTGCTCCGATTATAAGATGTAGAGTTTACTCCAGTCGGAGTAACAGACTCGAGTTCGTGAGTGCACCCAACTTAAACCATAAGAAAGTTTTGGGCAGGGGGCAAGTTACTTTTGCTCACAAACTAGCAGCAATCCGTCCATTCATCCCACAGGTTCGGGAAAGAGACAACAGCTTTTTGCAGTATTTGCTGTATCTGTTTGCAGTAATGCTGGGGAGTTTTACAGACTTTCCAGTCCCACCCGCTCCCCGCTGATGCCAGCAGCTGTTTTAATGGGGACACTGGGAGGAGCGGGATCCTGCTGCACTCCAAATCGCATCCCAAATTCCCGCTGGCATTACAGGACTTTTTGGTGATGCAAAGCGAGGAGATCAAGGCAGTATTCGTAAGTGCAAGGCAGCGAGGCAATTCCCCCACAGCCACCTACATTCACGTCCTGTCCACAGACTCTTTAGCGGGAATATTCCCTATTTCCATCTAGGAAATGGAGATCATGGCAGAGAAGACAGCTCAAACAGCAATTGCAGAAATATAAAATATACGAAGGCTAGAAATATCCAAAAATACCAATTCCCGGTATTTTTATTAGATTTAAAACCCTGAGCGTGTCACTGAATTTGTCTCCATCACTCAGCAGAATGCTCTCACTTTGTTTTAATTTGGTCTCGGTTAGGGAGCTGCAGCATTTCTGCCTTTCAACTTTTCTTCAGAAACACTGTCTTATTTTTAGTAGGAATGGAGACTTCGTTGTATTTATATTATTTCAGGAAATTGACCCTTAAGAAAAATAGCAGCTCTGTGGAGCCCAGCAAAAAAATCCCTCACAACGGCTGGTGTTTTGGAAGCTGCATCTGTCAGTCCTGCTCCGTGTCCGTCTGTCCCTCACCCCCACCTCGCAGCCTCCCAAACAGGTTCAAAAGTAGCATTTTACAGGAGGCCTCTTTTGAAAAAAATGTAGCTACCTTTGCAACCGATAAACCCCTGAATTTCTCTCACATCGTTACAAGTCTTGTTTTACCCCTTTATATTTCTACTCTTGTACATGTATTCCTCTCTTTACTCTTGTAAAATGAGGAATATTTTTCTGGAGAGACAGGAAAAATTATGGATAACCTAATAGAAATGCATTTGAAAAGATCTTAATGTGCATGAGAGCTGGACTGGTAGCTTTAAACGATAGCTCTCCAGTGCACAAATGCACCACTACCTTCTCCCTGGCACTGTGAGCAGGCAGTTTGGAGGTAAGATACATATATTTTTTTTTCTAAAAATGCACTATAAAATCCGCACAAAGCAGTTCGAGGGGGAGAAATTTCATTAGCTTTTCCATCTTCCCTGTGTTTCCGTGCAGTCAAATGGGCTGCTACATCCCCAACAGGAGGTTTCTTTTCGCTGGATGTCGCTTTGGAGGGGACTCTGGAAAGCGCCATTTGCCGCAGCGTGGACAGAGATGAAACACGAGCGCGACCGCTCCAGGTCTGCTCCGAACAAAACTTTTGGGGCTCCCAGTGCCCCTCTCCATCCCCAAACCACCCCCGCGCTCCTCCACCGAGCCCTCCGCACAGCACTGCTCCCAGAGCGATTTTTACTCCCGGTTTTTCCTTATTTTTTTCTTGCCTTTTTTTCCCCAACCTCCCCTGTCTTTCCCCCCGCTCCTTTTCGTATCGGCCGCAGCCCCAGCACGGGACACCGGCCGCCCCTTGGCCCTCTTTTCTCCGCGCCGCTTTCAAGCAGAAGCCCCCGGCTCTTCCTACCCGGGCTCTCGGCGCCGAAGGGCTGGAAGTCGAGGGCGAGGGGGGGTCTCCAGGGCAGCGTCTCCAGCAGCCCGTCCAAAACGCCCCTGCGGAGCGAGAACGCGCTGGGGGAGAGGGGGGCCGCTCCGCGGCCGCGCGAGGGCCGCGCGGAGCCGCCGCTGTTACCTGTTGCGGCCGGGGGCGCGGAAGCCCTTGGCGGAGGGGGTT